CATTTTAAAGAGGACAAGGTAAGGCCTTGGTTCGCAAGCAACATCAAGAATTCTAAAACTACTCCAGTAGGGGCCGTACAAGGGTCCGTGCCCTTTTCTTGAGCAAATTTAGAAAAACGTGACCATTTGTACATGTAAGACTTTTTTGTGGACACCCTCTGCGCAGCCTCTAGGACATTAGTTACATCCACTGTCAAAGGCAGGGTTAGATTTCCTGGGCCGGGAGGATCCTCCAAGCCGTCAACCTCAGGTCCTGGACATCTGGGTATAGTACTTGATTGTTTTGTACTGACAATAGGTCCTTCCTGCAAGGGAGTGGTTTGAATATCTTTCTGGATAACCGAAGAACTAGAGCAAACCACGGTTGCCTTGGCCACCAGGGGGTAATCAGGATTCCTTTGGCTCTGTCTTGGCTCAGTTTTGAGACCACTCTCAAAATCAGTGGGAACGGAGGAAATGCATATACTTCCTGCATTCCCCAATGAGTCAGGAAGATCTCCCAGACAGTCCTGTCCTACATTCTCCCTTGTCCTTGCACAGAACAGGCGGCACTTCCTGTTCTCTTGCGATGCAAACAGATCTACTACTGGCGTCCCCCACGCTCTGAAAAGGAGTGATGTTACCTCCTCGTTCAGAGTCCATTCGTGCTGACTTAGTGGGTTTCTGCTTAGGGAATCCGCTAGAGTGTTTTGTTTTCCTGGCAGGTGGACTGCTGTGAGGTGGATTCCCCTTTCGAGACTCCAATGCCATATCTGCTGTGTTAATGACAATAGTGTGGGGGAATGTGTGCCGCCCTGCTTGTTGATATAATACATTACGGTTGTATTGTCTGTGAGAATTTGGACAGTCTGATTTGCTTAACACCAGTTCGAAGGCTTTTAATGCCTTGTCCACAGCCAGCAGCTCTAACTGATTTATGTGTAAAGCAGCTTCTAGAGGTGTCCATTTTCCCTGAGCCGTTAGGTCGTCCACATGAGCTCCCCACCCCATGAGTGATGAGTCTGTCGTTATGACCTTGGATGCAGCAGTCTCCCGAAATGGCAGCCCCGCACATACATTGTCGCGTTCCAACCACCATAACCATCACAGGCACAGTGATGAGCATGTGTGGGCTGTGTACTAAAGGGTCGAATACTGACAGGAACCAAGACTGTAATGGTCTCATGTGTAGTCTTGCGAGTGGGGTCACTGCCGTTGTAGAGGCCATATGACCTAGGATTACTTGTATTTTCCTGGCGTGTACTTTGTCTCGGTGGAGCACCTCGCGTATCAGTCTGTCTAGGTTTAAAAAGCGGTCGTCGGGTAGAAACGCCCTCTGTAACTGTGAATCCAGAATTGCACCAATAAACTGTATTCTTCTCGTTGGTGTGAGCTGGGATTTCTCCCAATTCACGATCAGACCTAGGGACTGGAGAAAACATAATGTAGTATTGACATGTTGAATGAGTTCATTCCTAGTGCTTGCAGTAATCATCCAGTCATCTATATACTGAAAAACCGTAATCCCCGATGTGCGTAGGTAAGCTGCAACTGCCGCCATACACTTTGTAAATACCCTAGGCGCAGTTGCGAGTCCAAATGCCAATACGCTGAAAGTATAAGCCTGGCTTCCTACCATAAAGGCTAGATATCTCCTATGCTCTTTAGCTATTGATATGTGGAAATAAGCATCTTTAAGGTCGACCGTTGCAAACCAATCACCTTTATTTATCAACGGGAGTAAAGTTTTCAAAGATAACATTCGAAATTTTTTAGTTGTTATAAAGGAGTTCACATCTCTTAAGTCTAAAATGGGACGTTGTCCCCCTCCTTTCTTAGAGATTAGGAAATATCTCGAGTAAAAGCATAGTCTCTGATCTCCTGGTAATAATGGAGTGATAGCTCCTTTGGACAGTAGAGTGTCAATTTCCTCTTGTAATAAAGGAGAAGGAGTCGTCACCTTAACTTTACCTACTGGAGGTAATTCATCAAACTCAATGAAATAACCTTTCTTAACAATTCTTAAAACCCACTGGTCAGTTGTTATTTCTGACCACCTTTTAAAGTAAGGTGCTAAACGATTCTCAAACAATGGCTGTTTTGTATTTCTTAGTTTCTCACTTATGCTCTCAGAACAGTGGCTATTAGCAACTTTATTAACAACATTAACTTTAACACTCGATTCAACTTCCCCAACGGGGAGATCTGCCATTGAACAATTAGCAGAAGAGGTACTGTCAAAAGCGCTGCTTTGGGCCCCCTGGACGGTTAGGCTTATTCTGGTAGGGCTGGAAGCGATTCTTTGCTCCATAGCCCTGCTTCCGCTGCCCAAATGGCCTGTTGTATTGAGAAGGCTGTTGGCGCTGTTGTGGCGTCCCATAGTTACCGAGGTTTCTCCTGTAGTAAGGGGATGAATTCTGCCATCTGGGCCTATGTTGATAAGTGTTTTGTTTAGGAAAACCATAGATTTGGATGGTTTTCTTCATCTCCTGGTTATGTTTAAGTCTCTCATCTGTCACTGGGTTGAACAACCCCTCCTGATTCATCGGGAGTTCCTCTGCCAAGGCTCTACCTTCCTCAGAAAGATCTGATGCTCTCAGCCACGCATGACGTCGTGTTGAAGTGGCTATCGCAAACATCTTCCCTGCAGACTCTGCTAAATGCTTTGCAAAGTCTTTCTGGTACTTTGATAAAAGAAGGGCTTCTGTGCTGAATGCTCTAGGTAAACGTCTCTCCTCTTCTGGTAGGAGAGTAATGTATGGTGTCATCTTATTCCATAAAAATGATTGATAGGTGCTCAAATACGTCACGTAGTGAGCCATCCTTGCGATAAGGCCTGCCGCCATATGCATTTTCTTTCCCATTATATCAAGTTTCTTGCCTTCTTTGTCTGCTGGTGCTGATGCTGTTTTCCTAATTTTTTTCCCTTGACCCACTTCTGCAATCACAGTGTTGGGCCTGAATGGACGTACTAACCAATCAGCATTGGTTAAATCTACTCTATAAAAATTGTCCACCTTTCTAGGCATGGCTGGTGTTGATGCCGGGGAACCTTCAGGCACTTTTGTCAGTTTCAACAAGTATGGCAATGATGGGAGTGCCGTACTACTTGGAGTATTTTGCTGGTCGGCCGGAAACATAGGATCTTCCACCGTTTCCTGTGGCTTTGGCGCTGGCAAATCCAAAGCCCTAATCATCCTGGCCAACAATGCGTTAAACTTCTTAAACTCCTTGGCACTAGACTTATCTTGATCTGCCTCCTTAGATCCCTCTAGAAGGAATGCATTCTCATCTGAAGATTCAGAAAGATCAATCATTGTGTCTTGTTGGACACTTGGTGTGGAGGTACCTTCTAATGGGTCCTCATCCTGGCTTAATGTATGGTCATGCTGACCAAATGAATGTCCTCCTCTGTGGTTATTTCTAAGGTAACCATCTGTCTGGCAGTGACAAGGGGCAGGACCTGCACAGTAGACCATCTGCCCCTGTGGAGTCATCTGCCAATATCCCCCATGTGGGGGCAAAGGAGCCTGCTGACAGTCTAGTCTGCTCATCCGCATCGAAGGAGCCCCAGAATTGGCTCCACGGAGCCTTCCCTTTGCTTTCTTTTTCTTTCCTTCCAGGGTAGGGGAGGGGCTGGAGGAGGAGCCCCGTCTTGCCTTCTTCTTCCCTTTCTTATTAGCTGGGGAGGAGCTAGAGGAGGAGTTTCGTCTTGTCCTTCTCCTCCCTTTCTTACGAGCAGGGGAGGAGCTAGAGGAGGAGTCAGAGGTGGAGCTTGACACGCTCTTCGATGCGGACCGCCTCCGACGTCGACGCTGCCTCTCCGAGCCTCGAGATGGAGGACGGTCCCTCGAGCGTCGAGGGGAATTCTCTCCTTGCGGTCCCGCTTGAAGAGGAGGATGCTTAGGAGCCAGAGCCTCCATTAAGGTTTGAGCCTCATTAATTGCTCTTGTTAAAGCGGGCGGAGTCACAGAGGGCTCTGAAGCTTCAGCTTCAATCGTATTGCCTCTCTCTTAGGGGTCGCCCCCTCGCCCATCATTTCCTTTGGCAAAGGGGATTCCTTTGCCGCTTGGATCCTCCTTTTCACTTGCTGCGTCACCATTTTGTCTCCATCCGTGGGGTTTTGCGGTTTGCTTTTCTTCTTCTTTGCAATGGCGAGCTTGGCATTTTGATCGTCTTTTGGGCGCTTTGCCAGCAGCAAGTTCTTATTTACTTTCTGTTTTGACACACCCACGTTTTCAGCTTGGATAGTAGGAAGCAAAGCCTGCTCATAAAGAGCTGCCTTGAGTCTTATTTCTCTATTTTTTTTGGTTTGAGGTGTAAAAGCCTCACAAATTTCGCAAGCCTGGGAGAGATGGGCTTCTCCCAAGCACGCAACGCACTCCAAGTGCGCGTCGTTGTCCGGTATTTTGTTCGGACACAGAATACATTTCTTAAAAGAGGTAGTCATGCTTAAAATCTTTCTTCTCTGTACAAACTCGTGTTGTCGTTGCTGCCTTTTGAGGCGGATTAACAGAACTGGCCGGTAGCCCCGCGGTTGGGCTATTTATGGAGTGGAGAGAAAGGGGCGGGGTTACCTAACGGTCAGTGAGTTAGCTCGTGAGTGTCCGTTGCTGGCCTGCGCGAGCGCAGGGAATACCATTGGTGTGAATCACAGGCATACCACGCGGGGAAACATGAAAATGAACAAAATCTGTCTACCAATATTAAAAAAACTTGAAAATTACAACAGCAAAACAATCAAGGAAATCTAATCACCTCTCAACAAAAGATTGCCCCAGGCACCAACAAGCCACACCAAACAACTGACAGGCCATCAAATACTAATCAAGGTGGTCCGTTGAAACATTCACACCTAGCTCCAGCAGACAAGAGTTCTTTGTCCCACCCTGGTCATTCTAGAGATATATAAACCCGTTTTCCTAGTTCCAACAGACCTCACTACCTCTGAGGATGCTTGCCATAGATGCAGGCGAAACGTCAGGAGAGAATGCCTCTAGAACATGGCCATATAGCCAAAAAAACCTACAACAACCCAGACTGACTACCACCGTAACACAGTAAAACAGGGCATTTGCTCTAAGGAAACTATAGTTAACTGCTCTATTGTATAGATTAATTAGTATTTAGTTACCAAACTGAGGAACAGAGTGATGTAGGAACAGGAACTGAGCCCTAAGTGACTCAAGCAATTCTGCAGATCAGTGGTTTGTATACATTTGCACACATATAGAGCTATCTTTGCCTCTTCTTGATTGTCATTCTGGTCCTATTCAGTGGAGACTTTGGCTGTATCCGCACAGTTGCTGCATCCCAAGTTAGCACAAGTCTTCTGAATCGGGGCCCAGTTGCAGCTGCAACAGTGTAATCATTTTTTTTAGTTACCACTCTCTTTTCTGCCTCAAACCAAAATCTTGTAGCAGATTCCTGCTTCCTGGAAAAGCAGACAGAGCATGCTGCAGTGGCCCAGTTACTCAGCTGCTCTACAATACTGACTGAGCCCAATAGAGCAAACGTGGGGCAGTGCAAATCCCTTCAGAAAGCTGCTTGTAGTTAGGCCAGATCATCTTGATCAACAAGTCCAAAGAAGCAGTGCCATGCAGAGGAGCTGACGATGGCGACCTGCGGAAATGAGAGATTGAGTTAGCTGAGTCTTGTGATGCCCAAAGGTAGTCTGTTCTGAAACTCCCCCTGCGATGAGGTCAGCCCTAGAAATGGTGGACTTCATCTGTGAGAATCAGAATTATCAAAGAATACGAGAATTGGAAGAGACCACAAAGGCGACCCGGTCCAGAGAGAGATGGGTGGGGGGAATGACTCAAGGCAGAGCCAGAAAGTGCACATCACCCACCAGTTTGGATTCTTGCAACAAAGTCAATTATGGGACACGGAAGCTGTCTGCAAGATCTTGAAAATGATTCAACCCTTAATTATATGTTTAAAGATTATTAGTTCCCGGGCCACTTTGATTGTTTTGGTACATCAATCAGAAAAGCACCATACTATACCATTGCACTGTAATACAGAGGTCCTCAATCTAAGGCCCAGGGGCCGGATGCGGCCCTCCAAGGTCATTTACCCGTCCCTCGCTCAGGGTCAACCGAAGTCTGAAACGACTTGAAAGCACACAACAACAACAATCCTATCTCAAAAGCAGGCCCACACTTCTCACTGAAATACTAAGGAGTTTATATTTGTTAAAATTGTTCTTCATTTTAATTATTGTATTGTTTTTAAGTGTCTTTTGCACTACAAATAAGAGATGTGCAGTGTGCATAGGAATTCAAGTTTTTTTTTTCAAATTATAATCTGACCCTCCAACAGTTTGAGGGACTGTGGCCTGGCCCTCTGTTTAAAAAGTTTGAGGACCCCTGCTGTAATATTATTAGCAATATTACATGTAATATAAATATATAACTATATTATTATTATTATTATTATATTGCATTACATTATAATATTATAAATATTGTATGTATATGCAATATATTATATTATATTATATTATATTATATTATATTATAATATTATATTATATTATATTATTATTATATTATTAGAATAGCACAGGTGTGTAGGGGGCGGGGGAGTGCCTGCTCATCACAGGAAACACATTGGAATGCTCACAAACATGGTAATTTTTCTTCTACCTACAATACACTCCCAATATACCGATGATATAATAGTTTGGCCCATTGAAGGGTACAGGGGAAACAGGGGAAAGTGGCTTCTGCTCCAGATACAGTATCCTCTCTCTCCAGTAAAATAGCTCACCTCTTCTGGGCTGCCTCCCTAAGTGCCCGTCTGAGTTTGGGTCCAGTTTGCAGCTTGGAGCAAAGAGATGTTGATGGGCTCTGGATTTCCTGTTGTGTCCACTACCTCCAGAAGTTTCAGGTCTGCAAATGCCATTTCAGACACATTGGCCGCCAACAAACGATTGGATCTAAAAAACAAAGGTGTTGATCATGTGGGGCGGTGCATGGTCTACAGGCATAAGATTACATTGGCTCTCCAGCTACCCATTCTGCACCCACAGATTCAACCATGGCTTGAAAACATTTTTTAAAAAACTACATTCATGGATTTTAAATCCACAGATTTAATCACCCATGGCTTGAAAACACTTTTTACACATCGAAAAAAACAAACCTTGGCTTTGTCATTTTATAGAAGGACCGAAGGAGAAAAATTATGAGTATATATGAGGAATCAATGAAAATAAGGAAACAAAAGTTACAAATAAAGATAGATGGCCACTTGCTTTATGTGTTTTACAAAGACTTTTAAAACAAGTTGAGCAAGTGACCATCACCAGCATTTGAGTTTTCCCCCCTTTAACAGAAAGAGCTTTACATCAGTGTTTTTCAACCTAGGGGTCGGGACCCCGGGGGGGGGGGTCACAAGGGGTCGCCAAAGACCATTAGAGAACACAGTATTTTCTATTGGTCATTGGGGTTCTGTGAGGGAAGTTTGGCCCAATTGTATTGTTGGTGGAGTTCAGAATGCTCTTTGATTGTAGGTGAACTACAGATCCCAGAACTACAACTCCCAAATGTCAAGGTCTATTTCCCCCAAACTCTACCATGGTTCACATCTGGGCATATTGAATATTCGTGCCAAATTTGGTCCTGATCTATGGGTGTAGATAAACTGCAACACCAAAACTCAAGGTCCGCGCCCACCAAACCCTTCCAGAGTTTTCTGTTGGTCATGGGAGTGCTGTGTGCCAAGTTTGGTTCAATTCCATTGTTGGTGGAGTTCAGAATGCCCTTCGATTGTAGATGAACTATAAATCCCAGCAACTACGACTCCCAAATGACAAAATCAATCCCCTCATTAACCCCACCAATATTCAAATTTGGGTTTTATCGGGTATTTGTGCCAAATTTGGTCCAGTGAATGAAAATACATCCTGCATATCAGATATTTGCATTACGATTCATAACAGTAGCAAAATCACAGTTATGAAGTAGCAACGGATATAATTTTATGGTTGGGGGTCACCACAACATGAGGAACTATATTAAGGGGTTGCGGCATTAGGAAGATTAAGAACTACTGCTTTAGATCCTGTATCAAGCAGGGTCACTGAAAAGAAAGGTAAATATGGCTTTCGTATCAATGATTAATTAATAAATATTTATCAGCCTCCTGCAAAAGATAACATGAAAGTACAGCTGTTAAATACAAAGACTGTAGTCCTGTAGTGCCTCTAAATAATGCTTTGTCCCTCTGCATTAATAAAAGAACTAGAGCCAGTGCTGTAAAATTGCAGAATTGGCCATCTGCAGAAACATTGCCCAGGGGATGCCCAGATGTGTTATCATTCTGTGGGAGGCTTCTCTCATGTAGCCACTTGGGAAGCTGGAGCTGACAGGCAGGAGCTCACCCCATCTTGCGGATTTGAACCGCTGACCTTCAGGTGAGCAGTTCAGCCAGCACAAGGGTTTAATCCATTGTGCCACCATGGCAGCTGCAGATAACAATCATATCCCTTGCACATTTTAGAGGGAAAACCCAATACATGATGGCAACCATATAAATCTTCTCTTGTGTCCAGTCTAATAGGAATAGCCACCCTATTAGACAAAGCGACCAAATGTCCCTTTACCTCAGCGTGATGACCCGGATGTTGGGAGTTGTGAGGAAAGCTTCAGCCATAATGACCGCAATCCTGTTGTGCTGCAGATAGAGATTTTCTAGGGATTCAGGCAAATCTGGTGGGACATATGATAGCTCATTGTAGCTCAGGTCCAGGAGCTAAGAAAGAAAAATGTTGGAGAACAAGATGTCAGAGTGGGGTATCATAAAGGGTGGCAAGAATAACCAGGGCAATGGGGCTCCTCTCCCTTGGAAGGATAACGCTTTTAGGAAGTCTGACATGAAAAACCTGGACATAGCGCTATTTTCTCATTCATTTAGCTGGCATCCAAACAGTGGCATACATAGTGTAAGTCCCCCTTAAACCTGCAGATTTTTTTTCTTTTTTACGCTTGAAGAAATTAGTATTCATTAACCTTTGGTTCTCCGGGTATTTGGGACTTCACCTCCAAGAATTTTTGTTAGTTTACCAAGTTTCCTGAGACTTCTGGGACCTGAAATCCCAAACGCCTGGAGGACCAAAGGTTGGAAACCACTACACCAACCAAAGCTTGTCTTTACTCCACAACAGGCATTCTAGGGCTGGCGGAGAAGGGTCAGATAAGTGTCTGGCTATGTCCCAATAGCCTGATGCAAAATAATTACAACATCCACTTATGTCTGAGAAATTGAAAGTCACCCGGGAAGGTCAAGAACTTGAACATTGTTTCCATCCTAAATATCTCAGTGTCACCTTAGATCGAACACTAGCATATAGGAAACACTGCTTGAACATGAAGCACAAAGTAGCTGCATGCAATAACATCCTGCGAAAACTTACTGGCAGCACATGGGGTCAGACCCAAAATTAGTAAGAACTTCAGCCCTAGCCTTGTCTTACTCAACTGCTGAGTATGCCTGCCCTGTTTGGCATAGATTTGCCCATTCAAAGCAGGTGAACATAGCATTGAATGAAACATGCAGAATAATCACAGGATGTCTTAAACCTACACCTGTTGATAAACGCTACAAGCTAGCTGGCATTGCCCCCCCCCCCCGATGTGCGATGGGAAGTTGCTGCTAAATGTGAGAGAAATAAGGTTGAATAGTGTGAAAGCCACCCACTACATGGCTACCAGCCTCCTCCCAGTAGACTCAAATCAAGGAAAAGCTTTATGAGAACTACCACTCCTCTTGGTGTCCCCTCAGCAACAGCAAGGGTATCCCTCTGGGCAGCTAAACCAGGAAATCCCAACTGGATGCCCCCCCCCCCCACGAGGGTCTTCCTCCAGGGGCAAACCAAGAATGGACAACGTGAAGGTCTCAAGAGGCCTGCCCCACCCCCCCACCCCGGTGAGGGTCTTCCTCCAGGGGCAAACCAAGCATGGGCAATCTGGAAGTCCCTGAATAGATTCAGAAGTGGAGTGGGCAGATCAAAAGACAAACTGGCGAAATGGCACTACCTAAAAGAATGCCATATCTTGTGTGACTGTGGAGCAGAACAGACAACTCCGCATCTGTATGCTTGTCCATTGTGCCCTGCCTAATGTACAGAGGAGGAATTGTTGGAGGCTACAGACAATGCCGTTGCTGTTGCCCGCTTTTGGTCAAAAGATATTTAGCTGCCTGCACACCTTCTATTTTATCAGTTTTATACTAATTTATGCAATGCTTTTGATACAAAATAATAATAATAATATCTGAGAAATGTCCTAGAGGATCTCAGCAAATAAAATAATCATTCTGGGTTTGACTACACAAATATAGATAGATTTCATGGCCATGGGTGGCAGGACTGCAGCAGCTCAATCATGAATTGAGGGGGTATTAAATTGAAATTGCAGCATACTTCACATGCAGATGAATTATACTATGCTGTGCCGTATAGGATCTTGGCCACTACATCCCTCAGCAACTGATACAAAAAGTCATATTGCCTTTGATACTGAAAAGAATATATACCCACAATTATTAGTAATCCCAACCTCCACAAACCCATCCAGTCCCAAATAGGCAGCTATCCTTGTGGTAGCCATTTCCAAAATATAACTCTGTGCTGTATTTAGAAACTCTTCCTATCCCTAGGTTCTTGTAGGTTTTTTCGGGCTATAGGGCCATGTTCTAGAGGCATTTCTCCTGACGTTTCACCTGCATCTATGGCAAGCATCCTCAGGGGTAGTGAGGATGTAGGTATGAGGTATGGCAAGCATCCTCACTACCTCTGAGGATGCTTGCCATAGATGCAGGCGAAACGTCAGGAGAAATGCCTCTAGAACAGGGGTAGGGAACCTTTGGCCCTCCAGCTGTGGTGGACTTCAACTCCCACAATTCCTTGAGGCTCGGCATTCGCCCCAAAGGCTTACCTTGGCCCAATGCCGAGCCTCAAGGAATTGTGGGAGTTGAAGTCCACCACAGCTGGAGGGCCAAAGGTTCCCTACCCCTGCTCTAGAACATGGCCCTATAGCCCGAAAAAACCTACAAGAACCTAGTGATTCCAGCCATGAAAGCCTTCGACAATACATCTTCCTATCCCCTTTCATAATTTGTTCACTTTTTAAATAAAGTGTATGGTCATTGCTACACTTTGTGATAACTGAGTTTTATTTAGGTATTTTTCCCTCCTCAGAGGTTGAGAAAGGCAGGGTCTAAATCAGGGGTTCTCAAACTTTTTAAACAGAGGGCCAGGTCATATTCCCTCAAACTGTTGGAGGGGCTATGTTGGAGGGCCAGATTATCATTTGAGAAAAAAAAACATGAATGAATTCCTATGCGCACTGCACATATCTTATTTGTAGTGCAAAAACCCTATAATCTGAAAAAAGCATGAATATAATTTGAAAAAAGCATGAACTTTTAAAAACAATACAATAATTAAAATGAAGAACAATTTTAGCAAATATAAACTTATTAGTATTTCAATGGGAAATACTTATGGCTGATGAGTTAGGATTGTGGTTGTTGTTGTGTGCTTTCAAGTCATTTCAGACTTAGGTTGACCCTGAGCGAGGGCCGGGTAAATGACCTTGGAGGGCCACATCTGGCCCCCGGGCCTTAGTTTGAGGACCCCTGGTATACATGTTCGAAATAAATAAATACTTTGGGCTTTAGCACAGCTGTTTAATCACCAGCAGCAATAGATCTTACCAATTGAAAGGTTGGCAGTTTGAAGCCTGGATCGGAGTGACCGCCCGACCTTCAGCCCAGCTTACTGTCCACCTAAGCAGTTTGAAAACAGCTGTGAGCTGTGAGTAGAGAAATTAGGCACTGCTTAAGCGGGGAGGTATTTTATGGTACCATAAAAGATACACCAGAAAAATGCCAGTGAGCAAAGGAAGAAGGAAGTCTGTGATCAAGGTTCTTTGCCATAGAGGATAGAGCGATGGCACCCCCCTGTGGCCAGAATTGAGCACAACCTCCAGAACACCGAAGCTGGGAAAAATACCAATATAATTCCTCTATCTGTTGTCTGTCCTGTCTATTTAATGGCATTGAATGTTTTCCATTGTGTGTGTTCTGAGTTCCCTTCAGAGTGAGAAAGGTGGAATATAAATGCTGTAAATAATAATAATACTTCCTATAATCTCTCCTGGACTTGGTGGTTCCAAGTTCTAAATACAGAACAGAGTCAACAAGGAAATTATTAGCTGCTTCACAGGCTTGGTAGTGACAAGTTTGCTTTTCATGTTCTAGTTGCAAGTTCAAACTTGTATTTGATCTAATTTGATCTAATTTTCTCCAGACAGACTCCTGGATCTCACAGTTTGTCCAGATCAAGAACATGTCCTCTGCTTCCCTCCTACCCGTGAAGTTTGGATGTTTATCCTAGAGATTTCCATCATTTTCTAGTCCTAAAAAAGCAGGTTCTTAACCAAGAGAATTCCAGCTATGGCGGCTCCATCACACCCTCACCTTGAGCCCATGCAGCTCCTGCCAAGTTCCTGGGGAGATGCTGGCGATCCGCAGGCGGTTGTGTGCCAGATGCAACTCCTTGAGTACGGTGAGATTGGCCAGCAATTCTGGGGAAAGGGAATTGAGCTGGTTCTTCTGAAGGTTGAGGACCTGAAGACTAGCAGGCAGTCCGGCAGGCAGGAGGGTGAGCAGGTTGCCAGAGATGTCCAGAGTCTCCAGAAGCCTCAGTTTGCGGAAGGCCAAGCGGTGGATGTGGGCGCTGTAAAGCCGGTTGTAGCTGAGGTTGAGCTCAGTCAGGAAGTAGGTAGCCGCAAAGTCCTGCAGCCCGACCCTTGTGATCTGGTTGTGCAGCAACATCAGGGAACGGACTCGGCGTGGGAGTCCAAACGGGATGCCATCCAGCCGGTTGTTGTAGAGGTGGAGCGTATGCAGGGAGCGTAGGTGGGAAAAGGCCTCAGAGTGCACACCTGCCACCGTCAAGGGGTTGCCCTGCAGCAGAAGGTACTGCAGGCTCCTCACGCGGCTGAGGCGCTCAGGCGGTAGGAAATTCAATTGGTTTCGGCCCAGATGCAGGATCACAATATTTGCAGGAAGGCCAGCCGGCACCTGGGTCAGGTTATTGTTGGAAAGATCCAGGTACTCCAGGCTCTTCAGCCTGCTGTGGTGGAAAGGCCAGAAATGGCCTTTAGGGGACCCAACAGAGGAATATCATGCCTCCGCTTTTCTGGGGCCTCCCTCCTCCCCTGCCAAAACTTCCAGAGGACCCATGAGTTATAGCCCCATTCTCCTCCCCTCAACACTCTGACAGAAGTTTATAGCCACAGTTACCTGAAGGTGGAAGGGTGAAGGCCCTCGCTGGACAGGTTATTGTTCTGAAGGTAGAGCTCTCGGAGACGCCACTGGCTGCTCAAGGCTCCTTTTGGGACACGGGTGATGCGGTTATTCTGCAAAGTGGAGTTCGGTGGTCAAGGAAGCACCCCTCCACTCTGGTTCCCCCAGCACCTGAACGAAAGGGGTGCTTCTGCCTTGTTATCAAATGTTTCGGCTCAGTCATCTTTAATAGGTACTGAGACAGATTCTTCAGACTGGTTCCATCATGCTTCACAAGTGGCCGGGGTGACTCCTATCACCACTCACAATCAGCCACACTGGTTTGGGTTGGCGGTAACTGCAGGCAGACAATATTTGGCAGGCTAGAGTTTTTTTTCCTCCCCTGCTATATACCAACCCTTCGAATTTCCCATCCTTCATTTTCCCATAGATGCTTTTATAATCTACCGCTCACTGCTGGGCTCATATCTCAGCAGAAAGCTTCTGTGTCTCCACTGCCTTATTATTTTTTTAATTACTTACTGTATTTGTACACCGCCTTTTTCAGACCGCAGGCGACTCAAGGCAGTTAACAGGACAAAATTCAATGCTTACAATGTCTTAAATACAATTAAAAACATAACATATAATAAAAACTAAACAAATCAATAAAATATAAATTCATAATGTCTCCTTGTTAAAAACATTGTCTGGACTTGTTGTCTAGTCGTTCCATTTTCCTGTGTCAGTTACTCTGCATTTGCAAACGCTTGTTCAAAAAGCCACGTCTTGACTTTTTTCCGGACTGTTAAAAGGGAGGTGGCCAATCTAATATCTATAGCAGTGGTTCTGAAACTGTGGGTCCCCAGATGTTTTTGGCCTACAACTCCCAGAAATCCCAGCCAGTTTACCAGCTGTTAGGATTTCTGGGAGATGAAGGCCAAAACACCTGGGGACCCACAGGTTGAGAACCACTGATCTATAGGGAGGGTGTTCCACAGCTGAGGGGCTGCCACCAAGAAGGCCCTGTCTCTTGTCTCTGCCAAACGTACTTGTGTCGAAGGTGGTAACAAGAGCAGGGCCTCCCCAGACGATCTTAAAGTCCTAGATGGTTCATAAGGGGAGATGCGTTTGGATGTGTAAGTTGGGCCAGAACCATTAATGGATACTTTCAGTTGCCAACCTGTAAGTGGAGGCGGACAATGGCACGAGGCAAATTCTGGGGCACATAAGTGAGCCGGTTGTTGGAGAAGATCATGGTACTGACAGCATCGGAACCATTGAAAGCATCAAAGGGCAAGCCAGTGTTGTTTAGCTGGTTGTTGTGCATATAGACAGACCTGTGATGAGAAGGAGCAGAGGGTGGGAAGAAAAAGGACAGATTAGGCTAATATCCTTGAGTTCTACAGTAGACTCTACACTGCCTTTAAACACTTTTCTTCTTACAAGAATGAGACTATAATTTATTTATTTATTTATTTATTTATATTTCTGGCATTTCTATTCCGTTCCTTTTCAACCCCCAAAGGGGGACTCAGGATGGCTTACATTTGGCAGCAATTCGATGCCACTACATAACACAGCAATATAATAACAATTAAAACAATAAGTAATACATTCGTTAAAACAGTAAAAACAGTACTCCTAATTACCAGTGATTTTTTTTTCTCGAGAAGACTATCTAAAGCAAGGCCAGGAGCAAGGATTGGCCTGCAAGGATTC